TGGAGAATGATGTCATCTAAACCCAAACCTGTGTACCGCATCTCCCTCCGGCTCGGATGACACTCGTCCAACGCCTCAGCTTCAAGCCACGAGAATGGTGCCTAGCCGGCTCCGGATGGATCTGGGTACAGGAATGGGGGGAATGACACTGCCCCTCTCATTACCATGGTCTTATTATTACCACAAATTCAATCAGGGTCTGTTTAGCAAGTTTTGGTACGTTCATTATACAGTGGAACCCCTCTAATCCTGACACTGATAGGGAGAAGAAAGTAAGGTGTCCTTATTTCAGGGGTTAAATTGCATGCAAGAAGTGTTACTGTAAGTGTGTATATTTTCAGGGGCGTCCTTAGAGATTGAGAAATAAGGTTTACTGGCAGCAGACAATGTGATAAGCCAATTATTATAACCCACAAACCTGGATGCGGTTAAGGTAGACATGTGCGTCTCCTAGAGTATGTACAAAGTCTCCCGGCTGGAGAGGGAGTTAATTATGATGATGTCATAGGTTAATGCGGGGGGCGTGGCTAACCTTGAGGTTGCAGACGTGAGCTATCATGTATGTCAGTAGAGAGTAGCTGGCGATGTTGAATGGAACTCCAAGACCCTGGGTGGAAGAGGAGGTAATGAGAATAGTGGGTTGTGGGATTCATGCATCTATGGTAGCTACTGAATTAGGAGTGTGTGTCTTTGGTGATTTGATCCCCCCAGTTCCCCATAAGACTACGTCGTTGCTCATGTGCCTGATTTCTTCCTAATAGCAAGCTTCTAACCATAGCAAATAGTAGTTCCAAGGTTCAGTATGTATGTTGTTTTTAGAAGACTATAAATTGTGGCTGGCTTTATGTTGGTTGCCAGTGCATTCGAGCCTGGTATATAGGGATGCTACATATCACGCACACCACGAGTTGATGGTCTAGTGGCTAAAGCTCTTGCAAGTGAAACATGGTTTTCCTGCTACCTGGGTTCAACACCAGCAACTACTACTTTTTAATTTTTCAACCTCACTGACTGGTGGGTATAAAGGCAAAATTTCAACTACTCCTCTCGGGTCACTCATGTGGCGCAATCAGTAGAAGTGGGGACTACCAGTATAAAGGTTCCGGTGGGTGAGGAGATCGATCCCGGGCTGGAAGCTGGTAGGGTGGTCCAGAGCATGGCTGGGAAACAGCTCTGGTTCCTCCCCTTACCCACTCTCTGTTTGAACAATATGAGTGCCCGCTTCACTGGGCATGTTGGCCACATGCCTGGTGGAGTGGCTTTTTTATTTTTAGTAGTGAAGTGCTCATTATGTTCTTGTCTATTCTAAAGACTGGATATTAGCACCGTTTATATGCTGTTACTCGTGTGCTTTAAGTCTTCCGAATAGCAAGCGTTCTAATCTAGCAAATCTTCAGGTCCAAGGTTCATTATACGACGTGTGTTTCAAAGACTAAGGAATGCATATATTGTGAGTGTGTATTTAAAGTACGTGACTTTCTTATGCACAATGGCAGGCTCAGACCTACTATACCGTATATTATTTATACACACTGTTGTTGTAGATATTGTCTTAATTGGACCATTATCCTGTGTTTTGATCATAATAATTACAGCTGTGTAGGTGTGCGGCAGGCTTAGTTCAGAATTGCAACTTTTGCCGTAGGATTAGCATTAATGGTGTTACGTTTCTTCATGACATAATTTTGATGGCTTCGTACGTACACTTATTATCAGTGATTTGAGCAGTCAGATTTAGTTTGCTAGTGGCACGTTTATTGTGTGCATCCGACTGAGTGAAGTGAAGGCAAACAAATCAACTGCACATGGGACAACCAGCGAAAAGAGCTGTCCTAGTATGTAGAGCAACTCAGCAGGTGTAGTTGTTCAAATCTTCAACAAAAGGGCAAACCTCAGTAACTGTGGCACAGTACACTCTCACTTGGTACAAGCCTGATCATGTGTTCAAGTGACCATTTGTTCACGTCTGAGTGTGACTGGCACAAATACACACCTTTGGTGTAGAACGCAGGACACGTGGTAAAATAGGGTTATGCTGGAATTGTGTTGTTTGTGAAGATGGTGGTAGACTGACAAAAGTTTTAGTTGATTTTCTCACTGAATTTGAGGATACCATGGGGATATTGGCAGTGTTGCTTGTTAGTTTTGGCAATTTTCAGTTCATTTTCCTTTACCACCTGCAGAGGCAGGATGGAAGGGTGTTTAGCTGTAGTAGTAGCTTTAGTAGAGAGTGAACTGTAGAAGGAAGAAAAAAGGAGAGGGGAGAGAGAGGGAGGGAAGGAAGAAGGAAAGAAAAGAAGTCACAACGAAGGGCGTGTATCGACTCCCGCATGCTATCAACTTGTGTAGCTAGCCTGTCTCAGACTCTCCGCGAGCTACCAGAGGGTGGCCACGAGTAAACGCGTACAAATAGTCCCAGCCCATCAGTTAGCGGTGTCATGCATAAAATACTTGCAGAGAAAAGTTTGACGTTTGCAATTTAAATTCTTATCCGTCCAAATTTTCCTGTACATGTTTTGCACAGCCTCCTCCGGTGCCGACCAGTCACAACTTCACGAAGCAGAGAGACAAGATGAGGCATAAACTGGAGGAGAAGAGGAGAGAGAAGGAACTAAACAGACCCTGTGAGTGTGGACTGCACAGTTGGACACAAGTTATGTGTGTTCAGACCAAAAAATCAGGTTTGCTCTGTCTTTTTTTTGAAAGGCAGGCATGTAAAAAAAGCTCTGCAATCGTCTACCAATACTTTAGACCGCTGTCACGCGCAATTGACCAATGAGATTACAGAATTGCGGGGGGTTTATTATTCATAGACACCTCGTTTGAGGTGTCTAATGGCGTTTGCAGGTGGTCTACAACAAACTCCCCGTACAAAATGGCTATTCTCAAAAGTCGTTATCTGCGCAAACTGGCCGATTCCGCGTTCGGTAAGCGTAGAAGGCGCGACTTGTAAAGTAGCTGTTTTAAAAATGCGCAGTGCACCTGCAAGAAGTCTGTGGACAGTCTCAGGAGCTCGCGAAAGTCATACTTAAATCACGTCAATATTCCACGAAAAAAGCGTCGGCTTCTTCAGCTCTGGCGATACACAAACACATTGGGCCGTTGCCGTGCGTTGCTAACCCTTTCAAACGCGAACCACCAATGAGAGCGTTTTATGATGACGTACACGATTTTTGACGGGGGGCGGGGGCTGTCTCCTCGGAGTCGGACAAAATCTCACACGTAAAAAAAGCGTCTTGTTCCATCCGAAGGTAAGAATGAGCGCAGTGTTGCTAGCTTGTTGCTACCCATTTGAACGCGCAAACACCAATCAGATACTTCGGTCTAAACCGGTTAGACGCGGAAGCTCGGTACGGTGTCTACGTTACATTACAACCCTCGGGACATGTGGGTAGCGCCCTCGCTGCGCTCGGAACGCCAACATTCCACAGCCCCTCGGGTTGCAATGTAACGTAGACACCTCGCTTCCGCGTCTAACCTATATTTAGACTACGGTAACACGCAATTGACCAATCAGATTGCGAGTTTAGCGGTGACTATTTTGTTAGTGACCTCTTCCGCGTAACTATTCGTAGCCCCGGCAACCACGCCTTCAATTTCGAAAGACGCCACGCGCGCGGACGGTGAACCGCGCTTCTGGAGCGGTTATTCCACGAATAAACCAGGAACAGCTCTTCTAGCAGCAGCGCATGACTACTAGAGAGCTAGGAAGACGCTAGAGAAAGCGTACAGGGAAAAACGCGTACAAACGGCCGGCCGGCGCGATCCCGAAGGGCAGCAACGCCTACAACGGACACTGCAGCGGGACGGACTTGCGCTGTAGTCTAAGCCGGTTAGACGCGTCGCCTTGGGAAACTACGTGATTTAGTGATCCTCGGAGCCCTTAGTAGCGCCCTCGCTGCGCTCGGGACGCCGACAGCTCAGGGCTCCTCGGCTCACTAAATCGCGTAGTTCCCGCGGCTCAGCGTCTAACCTATACGTATAATACAAACACCGTTGCTAATGCAATAGATACCTTTTGAAATTCAGAGAAGTGATCGGATTGCTAGCAAAGCATACCATTACTTAATTTGTTTATTAACTTCATGAAATTCACAAATTGTGTGAGTGAAAGTTAAAAATTTGTATCATAGCAAGTGCTTCCCATTCTTGCAGACAATCCCCAACACAACTGCAGTGAGACTGACTCTCGGCCACTGGATGAACTACTTGCCTTTATTGAGGGAGACGAGAGGGGAGAGGGGGCGGAGTCATGTCCGTCTCCATGACTACCAACCACACCTCCAAGCCAGGAAAGAAAAAGAAAAGACGAAAAAGATTCACGTAATTCATTCCTTCCATTTGCTTGCTAATTGCATTCCTATCTACAGTTCCCTAGCAACTGTCACTCCCGGAAACAACAGAGGAGGAGAGTGGTGGCCACACCCACAAGTCACATGACGGATCATTGGGTGTGTCAGTGTGTGAGGAGAGAGAAGATGACGACAGGTCGTCTGGCAAGAAAACTGGCCCATGCTAGCCACACCCACCAAGGTAAGACTACACCGTCACACTTGTTTCTATCTTTAGTAACATTTCTCAATTTAGAAGGAATGCAACATACGTACATGTAGTTTGATTTTTTAGAATCACATAAACATCACGATATGTGCATAGCCTGATGTTACACACATAATATAGGGATGATTGTCACATGATATACCCACAGATCAGGGGGGGTAGGACACGATCACGTGTGAGCAATTTTTGCTGAGTCAGCACTCCCGAATGTATGGGCTTTCTCGTTCAACCAGTATTCAAGGAATTTTCCACAATATAGGCCATGGCTGAAGTTCTTCTCCTGACAGAGTGAAGGAGGTACGTACCTTAGGAGATCACCAATCTTGGTGGAACCTCAACTTGTTTTTTTTGCTAGCGGCTTATGAATGGGAGTGCCTAAGCTTGCGACTTTTTTCTATCAGCGAGGCGTTTAGCATCTGGCCTTGACTTTCCACTGCCATCTACTACCATTTGACTCAATCCAAGAGGGATGTCCAGTAATGCCATAAAACAGGAAGTGACGTCACTATTTTCATTGCCTCAGTCGTAGTCCTAGCTCTGTCCCTATACCATACCATGTATTGATGCAATCCAAGGTACGTCTGGTACCACAGAAATACAGCAAGCCATGAGCAGTAGAGAGTGGATAGCATTAGCCAAGCCACGCACCGAATTGTTGGTAGCCTAGCTTGTACTTCACAGATGCCTTTCTAAAATTCTGTCACGATAATCGATCCGCTAAGAACTTGTGCTTTTAGCTCATAATACGTTTCTATAACAGTTTCTTGGCAATTGGAGCGCCTTTTTGGTAGTCTGTTTGTCTTGAGAGTTGGTAGCGGGCGTTTGGCAGGGACGTGGGCAGGAGGACGAGTATATACCAGGCCATGTCCTCTCTCTTCCCTCTCTCTCGTAGCTTACTATGCATACTTCCAATACAACGCTTATGAGCATTGGCATGTATGGAACGCGCATTTTTGTCATGTGGTTCTTACGTAACTACGCAAGCATCCCCTGCCCACAGATTTGTCTCTTAGAGTGGGAGGGGGGAAGGTCAAAGGTCATTCCAATAAGCCACACTCACCATCTTCCTCTTTGCCGGTCAACTGTAGATCATCTGCTGGTATGTTCATAATATTGAAATACTGGCTACTGCAGAATGGCTTGTCTTACTAATAAAAACGTCTTGCAGGCCATCTCCTTATATGGTGTAGTAAGTATTTTAACCCTTTCCTCACTCCTTTTCAGATCTGCCGTCAGAGGAGTTGTCTGATGGCTATATCAGAGCGTCGGTAGACGCTCTATATAGGGATGACAGGAGTGAAATCTCACGTGATCCGCGTACAAAACGCCTCAAAACTCAGCGAGA